ATCGATCATAGCGACATCGGTTCCATCAGAAAAGAACCTTTTCAATTTCAGGCTTAACTATCTCAAAAAGTTAGAAACAGGTTAATCCTGAAACAGCAAGGGCAATTATTTTATGACGCATTGGATTTCGGAAAAAAGAATAGTAGAAAATTTATAAATTTATATTAAAATTGTGGGGATGTGCATAATAAGGAGAAATTATTTCGGTCAAAAAGCTTTGATGGAATAATGTTTCGGTAATAATAAAGATCGCAAAAAAAAATTTTTTTTGTATAATTTATTTTTTTTTTTTATTATAATAAAAATATGAATTGGGATTTTAAATTTCGTCTTTTTTAAGATATATAAAAAACTCCGGTAGATGAAGACAAACATCTAATTGACGATCGGCCTTTATATTTAAAAATCAATATGATTCCTATTAAATCAATCAAATTATTTAAAATTAAAAATATTATTAATTCCTTGAGTTCCGTCATAATATCTTTTCTCAATTTCCAACATACAAATGATCAATAGAATATGCCGTCGAGGCGAAATAATATAAGGTTGAAACAAAATCCCCTGGGGACCCCTAATTTACAATCGATAAATTCGATCACTATAAGAATCTTATTTATTGGCATACATTTTAAACTAGCGACTTAAATAGGGTCAGGTCAAAATACGCGGAGAATTTTTTTTTCTTTCCCCCCCCAAAAAAACTTATTTAACTACCATAATGCGTAATCTCGCTCTGTCATGGTAAACGATTTGATAAATTGAAATCGTAGAACAAAGATCAAAAGAGTGTAAAAAGGCTTTATTTATTATTTATTTATTTTTTGAAGAGCGAAATCAATAAATTAATCAAATTTTTTTTTTTCAATTTAAATATCATTTCATATAACGACAACAAAAGCCTTAAGGCTAACTTATTTTCGTACATCCAAAACCATTTAGTGATGCGCGTGCATCACAAAACTTAAATTAAACCAGGGAATCGATGATTCCACTACTTATAACACCCCTTTCTCTAACGGAAACATTGTTAATAACGTTTCTCGTGAAGAAAATGAATTTTATCCAATGAATAATTTTGAGAGGAGGACTAAGTCCGATAAACGTTGTGGTGAATATCTTAAAAGTAATATCAAGGCATATAAAGACGAACCATCCATCCATGTTTAGAAAGATGACATTTATTAAAACATTCGTAATTATCGATAAGATTATTAACGTTCCAATGGTAGACGCATACCATACCCCGATCGCAGCCGCCGACGAATTTATATGTCTTTGATTTGTTTTTGGGTTATACATGATTAAGATCGGTTTAAATGAATATACAAATGAAAGGATTTCGGTAAAGAGGAATATGATTTGATGAAATAGTATCGCCAATGTAAATGATCTCTTTTTATCTACATAGCTTAGATATATCTCGAGGAAATTATACACGTTACATGTGATTAGTAAAAAGATGACGAATTTATACAATAAAGTATGTCCTTGGGTTGTATTATAAAAGTTATTTCCGATATCCAATATACTAATTATTAATACGGTTCCAAATATTGATCCACATAATATTAATATGATGATATACAAATAAAAATTTGGCCAACCCGTAAAAAACCTAAAGAATGTGATCACTATGGCCAACATATGCACGGGTACACACGATACGCTGGTTGGTAAATCGAAAGAGTTAGTCCAATTTTCTCTCACTTTTTATTTCAAGAATTTGTCCTTGATGCTCACCTGAAGATCCGTAATCTCGTTCGATTATATATTGCTTGGTATACGGATATTATCGTATATATGACAAACGCTGAAGACGCTCCCAACAAGAGTCCCAATTTTGTGGTTATTAGCATACTGAAGCGAATGAATGTGTGTTTGATGTTTAAAAAAAAAAGGAAGTTTCAACTTGTGTTATTTCGTTCGTTAATGAGGGAAATGAAAGAAGATCAATCGAAATATATATTAAACATTTACCTTTACGGACCAATCAAATGGTTGGGTCAACTGATGCATTTATTGATAATTATGTGCATAAAACCTTTATTAGTTAGAAGTCTGTTATATAGGTAAGTTGTAAGATATGTTTTATTATTATTAATGATTTCTTTTTTTTTTTTAAAAAAAAAAATCATTACAAATTTATTTTAATTGATACAGTGTATGGTACATGCTATTCACAAACCAATTGTAACAATTTTGAATAGCATCACAAAATTTATGAAATGGAATATTCAAAATTAAGCAAATAATGATGTATAATTAGTAAGTCATAAAAAGGGTTTTTTCCTACCAAAGTTATAAATTAAAAGGATTTGTTTTGTTTCATGTACTTTATTTTTAAAAAAAAATCGTGTATGCACCAAAGCTGATTAATTCAAAAAAGATTTTGAATTGTGATCAAAAGAGAAAAAAGAAAAGTTCATTCCTTATTCATTATCATGAAGACATAAAAAATTTATTCAGGAGATATCCGATCTGACAAATTATTCGTTCCCAAGATTTTTTGATTTTGTTATGAATATCTTTTTTTTAAACAAAAAAAGTTTGCACGCGTTCTACAAATAAAGAAATTAATTATTCTGGTTTTTTGATTGATTTGATTGATTGCATGTGATTCATGTTCATCAGTGTGAGAGACCAATCAGAACATAATACCATTGTATTAAAAGGAATTTTTGGTCACCAAAAGGGGGGTAAATTAATCAATCCAAATATAACTTTTTTCAAAATAAAGAAGTTATTTGCGCGTCAACATTAGATAATATATGCAAAATTTAATTTATTTTTATTTTGTGTTCCCAAATCCAGATTTATTTTTTTTTTTTGAGCTTTTCTATCCTGAAACGTTTTTACCGATAATCAATTGATTTTACACTTTAAAACTTTCCGTGTGCCAAACGCAAATATTATATCATTTATCGGGAATTCCCAATTTCTAATAAAGGAATTAGATTAGTTTACTTCATAATTAAGCATATGGAAATTGGGGAAAGGAAATAAAAATTTTTTTTTTTTTTTATAAACTTGAAGAATAATATAATAGGTTAGTCAATTTTTGGGTGGTTCGATCAATTTTCATCATCTTTATTTTGATTATCCAATTCGGTTACACGAGAAAATTTAAAAACCCTTAATTTTCTTTAAAATATTTTAAAAATGATAAAATGTATCATCATCCCCTTCCCAACAAAAGAATTTCTGTTTTGGGGATTACAGAGTAGTAACCAAGGTTATCTAAAGATATAACTCTTTCGGGATGGTCTGATACATATTTGCGAGAATTCAAAACAAAAAAAAAAACTTTCTTCTTTTTTTTAATTTCAAAATTTTACAACGATGTTAAAAATAAGGTTTATTGATTTCACTGATTTCTAAGTACAGGAACCACGAGCGAAAATCCTGCTAAAACATTTTTTTTTTTTTTCCTTTTTGAATTATAAAAAAAAAAACAGGGATTGAACAAGAACACGAACGGGTACATGTCGTAACAGGTATGATGAAATAAGGTTCTTCATTCTTTTGTAAATTTGTGATATCATTATCCAATTCTTTTTATCATAGAAATAAAGGTATCACATGCCAAAAGTTTTAGGTTGGTGTTCTTTATATCTGAAACTTGTATAGGTTGCCCATACATCTGAAACAAGAGAAATCTCATTTAATCTTAATTTAGTCATAATCATCTCATCTTAATTTACCCAACATAAAATAATTTCCATTAAAAAAAATTAACTTGAATTTGAAGTGCCCAAATATAGTGATTTATTGTAATTACTAATCTGTTTCGTGTTACACCTTGGCCCAAATGCTTCTAGATTTTCGTCACATACACGATATATTTTTCTTTTGGGCTCATTACCTGTTGAAATGTTTTAAGCGAAATTCATCCTAATTTACATTCTCTCGGCTTTATTATCGCGCCACTATCATTTTACCTAAAAATAATTCACCTTTCGATGATCTACGATTTAATTAGGTAAACCCTCTTTCTAAATATGCAGGGTATTGTGCAGATGTACGTGGTTAATGCGAATGAAGAGCACATAGGTTGGAACAAGAAAAAAATTATTGTTTCGATGCATGGGCTTACTAAAACCTACGACAAATAATATGAAAAAAGGACAATAAAAAAAAATTCTCTGAAAAAAAAAAAAATAAATCTAACAATAGATGACCTTTTTATTTCTATTCTATTCTATTAATTTATTAAATTATTGTATTTTTGTAGTTAAGGTTCAATTCAATATCTCGTGAAAACTGATAGCTCAAAGGTTAAAAATCAGAGAGATTTTTCATCTCACTATGAAATTTTCTCTAAAATCACACTACTAATCCTTGGCTCATTTCATTGCTTGTCAACTATTTTTGGGGATTTTCAAGAGTCAACAATGTTCAAGTTTACAATGCAAAGAAATAGTTGGACATTGTTGGGGGAGAGGAAATTTTTTTTTTTTTTTGTTTGACATTCGAAACTTGGTAATAATCTATTAAGTAACCTTCAATGAACTTTTTTTTTTTTAGTTATATCTCTCTATGTATAACGCCACAAATTTTTAATGATTAAAAGCCGAAAATTTTCTAAAGCGTATTATCGGCCAAATTCAGCCTTTCTCCGTGTCACAAGTATAAATAAATTGTAACAAAGGCCAAATCTTGTCCAAAATAGGAATAATTGACATCTTGCCACTGGCTGGAAGTCCAACATGGAAGAAACTCAACAGGTGATCCATTGTTTTCCCCCCACATCATTTGAAAGAATAAAAAAATATATATATAAGGTCGAAGCTTGTCAGTTCTGTCAAAAAAAAAAAAAAATTATCGTTTTTTTTTAAAAAAAAAAAAAAAAATAATTTTTAAGCGAAAAAAAAAAAAAGAAACCTTAATTTATTTGACATCAAAAAATTTTAAAAATATATATATATATTATATACTGTATCTCGTCCTGGAAGACAATTTGTGATATTGAATCTATATAAAAATAATAACGATTAATCATGCAAAAACAAAGACCCGCTAGCTATTGTCCTGCCGCTCGTTCAGAAATGAAATTTAGAAATAGTTATCCCGGAAACTATAATGCAAAACGACTTTCCCTTAACATCCTTTGTAATCTTAAACCACAAGTTGATGTTGAAAAAATTAAGTTGAATTATCGACGCCTCTCAAACACATCAAAAACATCTTTGTCATCTCTTGATTCCGGCGTAGGATTCTCCAAGGTTGATTATGAAATACAAAGGGCGTTAAGAGCTCAGAGAGTACAGCGACCTCATATAATTGTACTTCACAAGGGAAAACCGATCTCCAAGAATTTAGATAATTACGATGAATTCGAGGAAAACATCGTTGTAGCCGCTGCCACTGCATCAAAACGAAACCGTCGAGAAATTTCTGTCATGCAAAAGCGTCGAACAATAGATTTCAGTGCGAACATTTCAAGCGTCGGAAAATTGGATCATCTCCAAGGTTTAAAAAGTAGCAGTGCACCTAATTTAACCATCATTAAACCACCATCAAAGATATTTCAAGATCAAGAAGAGGAGCGAGAAAATGAAGTAAAAGTAGAAAAAAAACCAAAGAGATATTCGATCATGCCTAAACATAAATTAACGTTTAAGGCTCTTTCTGTAACGATAAAGAAATTTATGGGAATCAAAACCGAGACAAAGAAGCGAAATCAATTAATTCAACAAATCCGCGAAAATCAATTCTTTTAAGATTACATCATTACTATAATATTAATTCATCATAATTTCAATTTCATAATTGATATTTTTTTTTTATTTTAATTTTTATTTTTTTTTTTCGCATCATTCAATTTTCATTATAGCAATTTCTTTTTCATCGCATATATATTAATTATAAAATCATAGCATCGGCAATAATTTGAATATAGGTTAAAATACGTAAAAAAATTTCAATGTACATATACAAAAAAAAAAATCCTTTAAATGTTATAAATGTTTTTATGGATATTTTTCTATTTAAAAAAAATTCTTTCTGGAAAAGAAATTTATTAATCATTTATGTTAAAACAAAAAAAAATATTATTATATTAAGAATATATGGAAATTAAGCATTGCATATGAATCTATGAATTCTTTAAATAAAAAAAAAAATAAAAAATAATTTATACAATGTTAAAATAATTGCAAAGGTGAATCATTGGCACGCGTTTGACGTAAAAAAAAGATATTTATGCTATATTAATTAAATGAATAAATTGAATAAATTGATTGTTGTACAAATTCACTTAAAGTACAAATAAAACCTTGATGAACGTAACAAATTAACCATTTTAAGCTTAAGGAGTAAAATTTGCAATTTCTGGTCGTCATGCAGTTCGATTTTAACCCAAAAAATAAATTTGACCTCTAAAAATAAATATACATTCAAACCAATATTCCAATTTTTCAATTGATAGAAGATTGATGGATTGTTCTTTTTTTGATCCACCACAGATCATCTCTAAATTAGGTAAGTGCCGATGACTCACTTTACAATCAAAAAAAGTGGTCCATTTATTTGGATGTAATCTTTGATAAGCAAATAAACGGATATAGATTGTTGGCAACAAAAAATTCTTGATTTTATTTCATACACTGCACCCCCATCATCTATATTTTGTATTTTGGGGAAAGTCATAAATAAAAAATTCTCACATTGTGAAACGAATTTCTCCCTCTACTAAATTTACTAAATATATAAAAGGTATGTTGGTTGTAATATTTATGTTTTTGTTACATCAATTTGGCAATTACATTAAACTTTCAATTTTGACTATATAAAAGATTCACAGTATCGAAACAGTTAATATTCTACGCTGACAAAGCATTCACAAGAAATCATTTTTCTTTCATTTTATTCTTTGTTCCTTTAAAACTGTTTCATTATCTTCGGTAATTCTCGGATTGGTTACATTACATTAAGGAATTTTAGGAATGTGGAATGTGAAACAATACCAAACAATTTAAATTAGAATTTATTAAGTTTATTAAAAAAAAAATCCTTTAAATTCACTATATTGTGTCTTTTTGAAAAAAAACTTTTACCCCGCTCTAGACCTTTTTCTGTTTGTGTAATGACGCGTAACTTTAAGTTTGGAATTTCATTGAATTCATAAACTTTAAATTTTCATATCTCCTTGACATACATTTAATCAATCAGCAATGTCAACAATAAAACATTTTGACAATCAATCTTTACGCGCAATTCCAAAAAAAAATTTTTTTTTTTTTTTTTTTAAATATATAAGTACTTTGGAATTTTTGTAAACGCGCATTTATTTTTTTTTAAAAAAAAAAAAAACCTATCATATTGTAAATATAAAATCCATAAATATAATATTCTTTCTTTCTCTCTTTCTTTCTTTTTTTTGAACGCGTTTAAATCTTAAAATATTTTATTATTATTTTTTAAATATGAGTAATATTGCACCTAGAACAAAAGTGACAACTGCCTGCAATAATTGTAAGCATTTAAAAATTAAGTGTTCACCTGGCCCAACGTGCTTGAATTGCGAGAAAAGAAGGATTGAGTGCATATTTGTTCCGGGAAAAAGACGTGGTCCGATAAAAGTGGAACGTAAGCCAACTGTGAAAAGCCAAAATATAGCGCCATCAGTAAATGTAATCGAGGAAAATCAAGGTAAAAGAGGAGCACCCATTCAAGTTTCTATAATAACGTTCGTGAAATTCTTACCTAAATCATATCATTATTTAATTTAGATGTATCAAACGAAGACGACAACGAAAGGATTTATTATTCAATTTTGGGACCAAGATGTAAGTAAAGTCTGCTTTTAATTCTTTGACATTCGTGAAACGGAAATATAATTTTTTTTACTTAAAACATTCTTTCATTTTAGATTATAATTTCACCGATGTGCGGTTACCAATAGGTAAGAAGGATTACAGTTTATATAAATAACATAACGATCTTGTAATTTTAATACATTGTTTTAACTTTAAAAAGACAACGAAATCGCTGAAACGAACGCATCCTGGAGTGGCACGACCGACACCACAAATGTAAATGATAACCTGAATATGTCGGACCCAGGATACGTGTTTAACGGTAAATAATTTGATTGATTATTGATCATATCTAAAATTTAATTTAATTTTTTTTTTTTTTAATCTTTTCAAATCAAAGAACAACAACAATTACAAGATCCCAACCCTTTGCCGAATAACGTATTGACAACATGTGTACCAGACAATCACTTATTCGGGTGGTATAATCATCAATAAAACGACAGCAGCAATAATAATATTGACCTTATTGGTGGTAATATGGGTACTTGCAGTAGTATTAAAGGAAATTTTGATTAATATTGCCCTCTTTTTCCCAAGATTCAATGGCCTTTTCCTTTCCACTTTCCATTTTTTAATTTTGAAGAAACAATAATTCTCAATTTTATAAATGATTTCGTTATTAAATTAGTTACTGCATTTAAAAGAGGTGAAATTTAAGTATAGTCAAAGTTACACTTGGATAATTTTTCCATTCAAAAATACTAGTAAAGTCATTGTTCATAATAAAGTAAATAGTATATTAAATCATTAATGAATCTTATGAAATGATTTCATATAATATACAAGAAAAATCCTATCCCTAGTGAAAGTAGTTAATTGTATATTAAAATTTTGATTAGGACCTTGCATATAAAACGTGGTAAATTTACAAATATCAATTCCACTTGTATAACTAACCTTGGCAGTCCTCCTTCTCTTTTTTCTTTCTAATTTTTTTTTTTTTTTTCTTTTAAAAAAAAAGTTATATATACATGATATTCGTAAAACGAGAAGGGTAAAATATAAATAGTAAACAAACACTTTAGATTATTATAGTTCTCATACGTTTGTAGCAAATAAGAAAAAAACATTTAAGTTTGAAACACAAACCTCAACGCCCTAGAAATTCGTTCTTTTATTCAAAATTACGCGTAAAGTAGTTAAACTCAATGCTTTATAATTAGTAAAAAAAAAAAAATTATAAAGTACTTTGTAGAAAAAAAGGAGAACTCGACGATAACAGAAGAGTTTATCTGAACAACTAACCTTGACGGTAAAGTTGGGACAAAGTCAGGGACAGTTTTGCGATTTGGTGTGGGACAGCCTTAAATGCAACACTGCTTGACGGTATAGAAAAAAACCTGTTTCTTGACAAACCCATTTTAGCAAGGTAGTGTTTTCTCAAGTAAAAATAAATAATAAAAAAAAAAAAAAAAAAAAAGGAAAACAACAAAAGGAGTATGAATTATTGAACCAAGAAAAATGAAGGTTTTGTAATTTTATTTATTAAAAAATAAGGTTTCCAAGGTTAGATTTTCTATCAACTTGATTTGATTGTTTACCGATTTTCCAAATTTGAATTTTTTTTATTAACGGATCATATGATTTTTATGTTCGTAACTCGATTTTTATTAGCAAATCCTCCAAAAAGTTGGCGGAATGATTTTAAACCTTGCCCGAAACAACAAATTTCGGCCCGCATTATTGATTCCGTGTTAATATATAATCACGTGAACACGACAAAAAAAAAAAATCTAAAAATATTTTCAGAATTAGAATTAACTTTTTATTTATTTTTCATCTTTCCCAGCAAAATGGTCTCATAAAAAGTCGGTTGTACAAAATTCCAGCATGGTCGAAAATGCTATATTTTTGAAATTGACCGAACATCGTGTTTTAATTAATTCAACCAGTCTGTTTGTTTGATTTCAAATCTCTAACATGGGACCTTTGTAATAGAAAGGGGGAATCTGCCGGAAAAAAAAATCAATTTTACTTTTATATGCCAAATATGATTTACGCTTGAATAATCACGTGATTTTTTGTTCAAGGTTTTAATCTTGCCCGAAACTATAACGATAATGTTCGGCCTGCATTCATAGTTCCAATATTTTCGGCTATAGGAAACTAAAAAAACATCGCGTCAAAGTGGTAAATCAATTCATTACATATACGTTCTATAATTGATAAAATAATTTCATTAGCATTTAATATACAAGCAATGAAAATTTATTCCCTAGAATACGTCAAAAATAATTCAAAATATCTAATATTACTATTTAATATTTATAAAATACCCGAATAAGAAAAAAAAACACCAAGTTTAATGAAACGACTTCTCGTGACTCGGTTAAAGATATTTATTTATTTATAGTTTCGTAGAAACAAATAAAATTGAAAAATTCAAAAATTGGTTCTTTATTAGTTATTACGTGTATAAAAATAGTGTCAATATCAATATTTTTAAATTTCATAGGAAAATGAAGAATTAAAACAATAGCAGAAGGTCAATTTGAACAATTAACATTGACGATTCATGAAGTAAAAAAAAAAAAATTATAAATAAGTTTCAACGAAAGAAAATACGTCTAAAGAGAATTAAAGACCAAAACTACGATCCTGCACCGATGAAGACTGTTAACCACTTACTAAGAAACCGTCCACAAGTGCTGCGTGTACAGATAACAAAAATAATATGTATCGTCCCTCCAAAATTACCAATTCAAAATACCTTATTCCTAAATCTATAGTCTAGTTTGAAAATTGAAGTTTCAAAATACACGAGAGAAGTCCTAGCTAAGGTGTCTCACAAACCCGTCATATTGAACCCAAATCAAAGAGGCTCTTCGGACTTACCGAATTCTTGTTACGTAGTGATAGCTTAATTTGTGGAGCATATATAAAGATTATGAAAATAATAAATAATCTATTTCGGATGTATCAAAAGGCAAGAATGATTTTAATCTCGCCCGAAACTACAATTTTTCGGCCTGCATTAATATAATCACGTGAAATTGGCTTTCTAAAAAAAAAAAAAAACTCACTGTTATTTTGAATAAATAATATTACACCGTCCATAACAAATTACATGTATTCTGAAATTATGTAAATTGGGTTATGTTAAATGATACATCAGATTTTATCTGGTGATGCAAGTTGGACGACTGAAACGACAGAGTCCGCCTTGGCTAATCTCAAATTAACCGAGCCTGTACAATACCAATTTTGAATAAAGTAATATCAGAACGTCACAAATGAAATTTTAGCCGAATGGGATTCTTGCAGATTCAAATTTTAATTCTAACCAAGCAAACAAAGTTGTGAAATTTTTAATGTATTAGAAAACTTACATTTTAAACATGCAATAAGTTGTTTGGATAAAATATATGATATGTCAATTTTAATACTATAATCAATTTTGAGCGAGCCTGTATAATGAATTACGAAATGCCTAAACGATACAAAATTCTTATGCAAAGACGGTATGTCAAATAACATACATACAGTCTTCGTTGTCATTATTATTTATTTTTTTTTTTTTTATTTTCATTTTTTTTTATGAAAAAAAAAAATTTATAAATATTTAAACAAAACATAACATTAATTGCATACCTTTCTTCATTATTATTCTTTGTGTAGGTTTGTTCTACATAGGTTAACCAAATCTCATTCAAAGGTGATGTTATGAAACCACAGAAGTTCCATGGACTCCTTCCATCGTTAAACAAGCTTATTAAGTGAGAATGCATTTCATTTCATTTGTGTAATGGGGACACAAAACATCATGTGACCATTGCATTTTGCACAGCTAAATCGCCTTCGTTGAACAAAAAAAAAAAAATTCCAAAAGATCAATATTTTATCAAATGACATTTTCCTAAAGAAGGAATTGAAATATCCTTTATGAGTGAATTTTTTTTTATGATGAGAAATTCTCAATTCCAATGACAATTTTGTTTTACGTACCTTTACGAGAATCGGCGAAACTTGTAGAAATCTAACATTGTGTTCTTTTCACCAGATCAAAACAATAAACAAAAAGACGTGCAAATTTTTTTATCCGAAATGAAACATTCAAGATAACTTTAAAAGTAAATATGATCTAATCTTAATCGGTAATACCAGTTCTCATGATTCTTCCACGGAATTCGGCAAGATAATTGGAAGGGTCGGGCATACCACAGCTACAAAGCCACAACAGCTACTGAGGCTATCTATCACATTCTTACTTTTTTTTTTTTATTTTAAGCGTTCATTCATTAAAAAAAAATATGCAATTGCTTTTCCTCTTATACAAGAGATAACATCAGAATTACTATTTTGAGTTTTTTTTGGACAAAGAAAATTTAAATTTAAATAAAGTTAATGCAATTTAAAATTTAATTTTGTAGTTTTATTTAATAACACAAAGGGTCCAATGACCGGTCTCATGACAAAATCAACAGCGCGAAAAAAAATAAAGATAACTTTCTATTTTCGAAGCGACACAAATGCTTTTTAAATTACGGTAAGGATTTGCATCTTCAAGAAGGTTGGATATGAAAGTAATCAATCAACAAAAAACTTTTAAGAAATCCTTAACATGGAATTCGGTTTGGCAATTCGTCATCTCATGATCATTCATCCATGGATGACACCAAATTTATAAATTTCCCAGGAAAAATAGCTCATCATGAGGGTTGCACGGTATCGAAAGAAAGGAAAAACACATGAGGCACATTTCGTTTCCAATTCATTTGACTTTTATACTAAATAGTCCATTTGTTTATATGATTTCATTTTAAATAGGAAAATTCATTTAGGCGTATTCAGCGCATTCCTGGTCCTGGGTCGAGGAATCAAAATTGTTCGGTCTCGTGAATAAATATGATTTGCATTTTAATTTCCTGTTTCTTGGAAGATCTTCCCTTTCACTATTAATAATATCATCAAATGATCGGTGTTGAACTCCGGCAAATTATCACAATCTCCGATAAGTTTTTTGGTATAGAAAAAGGCTTCAAAAATTCAAAACTTAGATAATGCATGGCATAACGAATAAACAAATAGTTTCCACGTTTTTTTTTTTGGATCACCGAATGTTTCAATCATTGTTGATCATCTGACACATTCAGGTGACCAACTTGAAGAAAAATTAATAAATAGTGAGCCTCAACTATCTCGGAAAAAAACCAACAAAAGTGTAAAGTCCTTTGTTCACGACTAGATCAATAGATAAATCCTTAATTTCTTTTGTTCGTTTCTAACGTCCTTTTAAATTACTTATTCATTAGATAGATTTTTTTCGATTTATTACATTGTATATATTGTTTATTATATATTAATTTCTTACCTTTTTTGTTTATAAAAATGAAAGTGGAAACCAAACTAACTAGAAAAGCACAATATTCATCAGATATTAATGTTGGTCACTGGAGTAAAGAGGTACAGTATAACTCGTCAATTCATTTGCGCATGATAAATTTGCAGATTTTAAAAGCAATTATTATAATCGTTAGGAGGATGCAAAATTAAAAAAATTGGTTTACAAAGATGGCGCTAGAAGATGGCGCACGATTGCCTCGAAAATGGGAACTCGCGACGCAAAGCAATGTCGAGAAAGGTACGTTACTCTCCTCGATGTAAAACATTTTTGAAATTTACGTAAATTTTAACGTAATTTCGAATTATCTTCAAGATTTTGTGGACATCTCGACGAAAAAAGTAAGGACTTCACCGGAATTCTTCTTAATTGGAACGATAGAATTTGTAAATAATTAATTGCATACTCATTTTTTTTTTGGTAAACTAGTCAACAAGGACCAATTATCGCCTGAAGAAGATTTATTAGTCATCCATTATCGTAGTCAAGGTTTTGGTTGGGCAAATATTGCAAAGCTTCTTAAAAACGGAAGAACGCCAAATCATGTTAAAAACAATTACAATCAACGCTTGGCAAAAGGATTATCCGTGTCCAGACCTTCGCGTAATCATGGTTTAGTTGGCAACGATGCGACTATATCAAGGTAAGGTTGCAATTTTTTATCGCTTCTTTTAGCAAGTTTTAAAATATTTTTACGAGATCGGATTATTTTTTTAAAAAAGATCCGTTATGAACAAAACTTCTGATTCCGAAAAAATTTCCGAAATATATATGAGGTAAGATAACATTTTTTTTTTTTAATCACTTTAATCATAAATTTTTTAATTTTTTAAGAGTTCAAAAAAAATAATATTCAATTTCGTTTAAAAGAAACGATACGTTTAAGACCTCCATATCTAAAACATCATACGAAACGTCGTTCGTAAAAACCGAAACTTTCGATACTTCCAAAACTTCCGAAACATCCGAAATTCCCAAAACAAGGTAAACATCACTTTTTTTTTTTTATTTTTTTTTTGTTTGTGGAATAGCGATTTCTCAATTTCTTTCAACCTTTCAGAAACCCTTTGGTTTCACGACAATTGACATTAGAATTTATTTTAAATTAAAAATCCTAACCCTTTATGATAAGTAAATCTGTAAGATAATTTGTAAGTTTAAAATTAAAAAAATGTAATTAATACTTATGTAAAAAGAAATAAAGAGATTTTTTTTTTCAAAAAAAAATTATGATGCATGTGACTGACTTCCTTATCTAAAATGTCCATAAGGGAAAAATCTACAAATTTAATATATCAGCTGATAAATTCGAAATACTGGTTATTGGTTATTGGTCATGTACGGGGAAAGATGACTCGTAAAATTTAATGAGAATGAACCAAATTAGGAAATCTAAATACTTTCGTTTCCATTTTCCATTTAATGATGGTCATTCCCATTGTGTTAATACCTAATTCACGAGAATGTAATGAAGGTAAACCGTAAAAAAAATTGAATTACTAATATGGTTTATCAAAAAATCCGTATAACCCGGTTTAGCAATACTGAATGAATGTTCATTCTGTTGGTTAAATTAGGTATCGAAAATATTAATTAAACTTGTTTATAAATCTTAATGCACGCCCAAGCTGTCATGGGAACTCATTAAATGAATAATGCGCAGAACATCAAACCCGTTACCTGAGCCCGTGGCACATTCCTATTCAGGCGAAAAGACGTTAATGGTATAGAAGCGCAGCAACACTCCCAAAATGATGTTACCCTGCATTGACTAATCAAGAAACACTACGACCGTGTAATCACAAGGATGACAACTCTTTAATTGGGGCGCCTGATTTCTGTATAATGTGACTCGTCCGCCCTTGTCATCGGACGTTACATCCAACACATTTTTTTTTTTGTTTAAACAATGAAATCCTTTATGTGTTTCAAAATATGAAAGTTTTGTGTGTTACTTTGGATGTAAGATTAACTAGTTAATTTACAAATTTACATTTCCTAATTACAAATATACATCATTTCTTCCCCTCTTAATTCTTTTGCCCGTACACCCTTACGTACTTTATGGAAGTTTTCAATCTTTTGACTTCATTATGAAATTCCTGAATTAATTCCTCGTATTCCTCCTTCGTACAACCCATAGTTTCTGACATTATATCTCTTGGATTTTGCAAATTTAATTCGAAATCTCGAAGTAAATATTGTCCGGCTCGTCCTCCTTCATTTCCCAAGAAGCATTCCTTCTCCTCTCTTTTAATGCTGCCAATTTGATCTGTCTCACGTAACAATCTGACGAATTCTGAACCTATCAGAGGGTTGATTTGCCTGGATTCAAGATAAAATCGGTCTAAATGAAAAAAAAATGTTATGATTAATAAATTGACGCGAAATCATTGGTGAATTTTCTTTTTTTTTTGAAACATACATGCGGTCATCAATCGTTTCGTAGCCTCGCCTTCATTGTAAAATTTGTTTTCACAATCCATTATTTCTATCCACCCTCCGCGTTTACATACACGAACGAGTTCGTTTACAATCCGTTCCTGCCATTGTTCTTTCGTGAACGATACGAATTGAAGAAACACAAAATCAAATGTTTCCGAGGCAAATGGTAACCTCTCTAATGTATCCAACTTTAAGAATATGGCATTTAAATCTGAAACATTTGTAGGAATAACCGAGGAGTCAACGTCTACACCGAAAAAATTGTCCCATCGATATTCTCTTGCCATATTTAACAACCAACATCCTGTACCTGGGCCACATCCAATATTCAATATTCTCGCATTCCCAGCGTTCAGTCGCTCAATGATCGGCGAAGAGAAATTTCCTTGCCATATAAACCTGTGTACATAATGTATCATTTGTGAAAACGATGTCTCCCCGTCTTCATCAGGGATGGCAAATCTGTCGCTGATTCCGTTAATATTATTATTATTCATGTTATTGTTAACTACCTCGAGGCTGATTGGGACGTTATCATCAACTAAATGTTTACTCTTGTGGCAACCCATTATGAAGAGGCACGAATTTTTTTCTCGAGGTAATTTTTTTTTTGAAAAGTTCGGATCGATTGTCAAGTTGGTGGCCAGACGATTAGGCGAAGATGAAGAAAAAATTATTATTATTGTACAATTTATTTATTTTATTTTATTTTTTTAATAATTTATATATTTTTTTTCCTTTTTTCCCTTTTTTTTTTTTTTGTAGAAGAGTTTCTTTAAATAGTCAAAGAATTTTTTATCGACCAGAAATACTAAGATCAGAACCCAGTCATGTTGTATGACATTCCTGGTTCAAGGAATGTAGGGAATATTCGCATGGCAATGTTTTTCGTCATTTAAGGAAGGTGATACCAGAAGATAAACAAACATTTTTTGTGCCCTTGCTCTTTATACAATCACTCAACAAACGTAAACGAATATGAGAAAATAACTCAATTGGAATAACAATATTAATATCAAAATTTATAAAATCAACTTATCCATCATCAATCAAGAACAAAGTAATGTTTATTGTTTACAAATCATCTAATGTCGGAAATGAGTTTATCACACCTAATGAAACTATCAATCAATTATAAAAAGAATCTAAATATAGCATGAACTGTCAAAACTTTAAATTTAAACTCTCTTAGATTGAAATATCTTAATAATATTTAGATGACGAATGTGGGACATGGAGCGCATGTTCGTTTTGCATAACTCGAATCAAAAAGAACAGATTGAGCTAAAAGCTCAATGTGTGTTATCACACTGATGTGTTATTACAATGCATGCTATACGTGTGCTCACGACCTTGTCAAACCTTGATTCAAAGAATGTTAAAATTGGATAGTAAGTGTGATGAAGAATGTCTACCGAATTCCGTAAATAACTTCTCGAGGTGTGATGATAATGGACAGTTTTTTTCATTTTCCCATGCGACGCCAAAGTGCCATAAATTTCAACCTAAAAATAAGAAAGATCCTCGTGTTGCTGTTTCGCATAGTTTGATGTCATATTTATTTATTGTTATTATTTATTAAAAAAAAAAAAAAAAAAAAAAAAAAAAAAAAAAAAAAGAAGCAAAGAAAATTTTTAATCCCTTTCGACCTTTAGTTAATTTTAATTCGTCGCTTTTTTAACCATATGGCCCTAAACGGATGTGAGCGGAAACCCATTGGATGTGTTTAACACATGTTACCACCATTCATGATTTTGTAAAACCTGTTACGACTTTGTTCTGGTAAACCTTTTCGTTGAAACAAAGTACAGGTTTATTTATTAAATGGATATAATTAAAAAATAACTATTTTCCTTAAAAGAAATTATTGATTGATTTATTTATATTTTGCTCACAATGATTGTTTTAATCTCTTTAATCTCTTTTTTTTTTTTAAAAAAAAAAAAATTAATTTAACCATTTCCGATTAATAAAAAAATTTCTTTTTGTTTCACTCACTTTCCTTTTTTCGGTTTATTGTTTTTATTACATCCCCCCCTTTCTTTTATTTTATATAACGTGCTTCCACGTTCTCTAAATAGATCGATTTTTCATAAATTAATATTATGCATTGACAAGACGATTGAGAATGGGTTATGTAAGCTCAAACAATTGAAAAAAAAAAAAAAAAATCTTTTTTTTTTTTTTTTTTTTAGAAAATTCCATTCGTAAGATGATAAAAATAATTTTTTTTTTTTTTCATCAACGGTTTGTGATTCAGGAAAAATAACTTGAAAAAGATGTAGCTTCGTGGTTGATTAAGTAGTTTGTGCTTCCGCGTGGTGATTTTCTTTAATATAAAAAACGGTAAGATGGATGTTCTAAAGGAATTCTGATAAATGTGCATGATCTATTTTACTATGGGTTGATTTCATATCGTGAAAGTTTAATTAATAAATTGTTACATTTTTGAATCATTCCGTAAAGATAACCAGTTTTTTTTTTTTTTTTTTTTTTTTTAAAAAAAAAAAAAATTGAAATCCACACATTGCAAAAAATCATCGAAACATCGAAAAAAAAAACCCCCACCAACCCCCAGCTTTACGAAATCACGAAATGATAGAACATGAACTTTGATTGGAATTTCCCTCCTTTTGCATCCAAATTACGGTTTTACTTCTTTATATGAATCATTATACATGTAAAGATTTGAATCGCTGTGTTAAAAATAAACACAATTTAATTGGTGTAACAACTTTAATCAAATCAGGAATATTCCAGTTAGAAATAAATTTAAAAAAAAAGGTTTCCCGTTATAATAGGATTAAATAAATCAAACTCGGTGGTGTCCTTTACGCTCTTTTACGGTTAATTTGTTAAATTTCAACATAAATTTACTGTATAATGATGGATTTATTTTGATCCGGTAAACCTCTCCAGATGTCGCATGAACTCGAGAACGAATCAAATCAAACTTGGTTTATTTTTTTTTTTAATCCTGACAAACGAACGAATGCAGGTCATAAGAAAACCTCACGTTAATACGGACACCAAAAAAAAAAAACTTCGAAACAAAAACTCTCGGGTTTCGACGGGGTCATTGGCAAAACTGTAATAAAACCTTATTGGCAAACCCGTCGAAACTCGAAACCATAATAAAATCCCGTCAAAAGTCAAAACTATATCATATACTTATTAACAAATCCGTCGAAATATAGGGGTTCGACTTTTGCCATTTGCTAAAATGAGTTTTGCCAGGCAACTATAGATGTCACGTAACTGATCCTTTATTATGCGCCGAGGATTTATGTTGTCAAGAAAAAAAAAAAAAATGCCAAGATGATATCTTTTATTAAAGAAAGAGCAACCAAAGGAATGAATTATCATGGATAAGAGAGTTTCTTGAGTAATAATAAAAAGTACTAATCATCAACGATTCAAAAATGTGAAGCGTTCATTACTTTTGAACGCTCCTTTGTTCTTTGGTTGGCAACGATTTTTGTTCGACCAATTTCATTTCAGTTTGATAGGCCATGCCATCATCTCGTGAAGCCCAATGATCAGCCTTAAGGTCACGATTACACTTTGGATGAATATTCTCTCTATTTTTACGGTAATGGGCTGTAGAGACATTAAATCTCCTATCACGATCGTCCAATATTTTCTGTGAAAGTTGAAAATCGTCAAGAAATGCCATCATAAGTTGAGGCGGTCCTAAGAATGAATGAATATCAATCAATACAACGGATACAAAGTCATCGAATGATGTACCGAAAAGAAGATTGTTACCATATGGTAAAGGATCCCCACGGTCAACTTGCCAAAAATGCCAGGTCTTTTTTGAAAGTTGGTTACTTGACATATTATCTTAAAAAAGAAAGAAAGAAGGAAAAAAAAAAGGAAATTCTTACTTTTCCATAAGTATCGATTAGTTCTTCCATGACCACCTTTTCAGCTTTATCGACAGCTGCTTGTGGCACCACCGGTATAAAGGGGCAAATCAACATACCCGACTTTACCTCATAAACGTGAGAATGCCAATAGATTTTTTCTTCTTCAGGAAGACCTAAAAAGGTATTTCGCCGTGGATTAGCATTGGCACATGACTTTGTATTCAAATCCAATCCTGCACATTGCTTGTACTTTGAAATAGCCTAGCCGAGATAATATATTCAACGCCAATCAATCGTGCGTCAGGTCTATTAGAATCGTAAATAACGCATTGACGTATTTCATCTTTAAGGTGACTGCAATAATGATGAGATTCTACTTGACGAGACATATCGTGACTTTTGGAACGAAAAAAAAAAATTCACGTTTTTTAAATAGATAATTTCGCAAATAGAAAGAATTTGTAAAGAGTTAATTATATGTCTCACCTGTAAAAATGAAAACCACAAACGTGTTCATGGATCTTATTGACAGGATCGAAATTTTGACCCGCTGCTTCGATCAAACTATTTACTTTCTGATAAGTCAAAATCGATCAATTATTATTCATTCACAAAGAATATATAACTTTAATTAATCGCTGAAGCGAATCCGTACCGGAAGATTTTCTGCCATTATATGAAAAGAAATAAAATTCGTAATGAAATCCTTTAATCTTTGTTAATATATTTTTTATAATAAATCAACAATTATGTAATGATGATTGTGTTGCGCCAGTGTTACCACTAATTTGTAATAGAGTTGTGGTACCAATAAAGAACTTGCTTTATTAGGAAACGTTTTGATTTGCATGTGAGGTACAATGCATTATCCCTTTTCCCTCTTCTTTTAACTAATAAGGTACTTCGTTTCTTTTTTTAAAAAAAAATACTTGTAAAAAATTTTTTTAAATATGAAAGATTCTCAATTACAAGAAGACATGACTATGCAAGTTGACAACTTTTCAACCAGCATAAATATAAATTTTTCACAAGATCACAAACATGACATAAATAATGAAACTTCCACACCCTTCAACCAAGGCGTAAAAACATCATCTCATATGAGATTCGCGTGGTTTGGCGAAAGGAAATTTTGGTTAATTGTATTAATCATGATGATTAAATTGATTGTTATAGTTGGTATGTAAACAAATTTATTTAATTTATTCCGAATAAATAAATATAAATATAAAAGAAAGATTATTAATTTTTTTTTTTTTTTTTTTTAAAAAAAAAAGGGTTGGTTCTCCTATTTCATAACAAGGCTGTAAAAAAATGAAATCAACTAAATAGTCTAAATAGTGCTGTTAATTGGGAATTTGTAATTGTGAGGTTTTTTTTTTTTATAAATAATTATATACATGTGATCAAAAATCTTGTATTATATTTTTCTATAGGATAATAAACATATATGAAATCATCGTTTTACTTATTTGATATTTATAGTGATTACTCTAACTCTAAGTTAACAAAAAGACATAATAATATATATATATACAGCTTAAAAATTCGATTTTTATCATATAAATAGATGGCCATTCATATCTTTTTTCCGTAAACCCTAAAAACAAAGAAAAATGAATTTCGCCAATTTAGCAAGTTTGCCCAAAAGTGAGATTATACATGGATCTCTACCTGAAAGTTTTACAATAGGTGTTGTGTTTAATAACTTCTTCACGCATCTTCTCTAAATTCTCATCAAGTTCTGATTCGCTTAAATTCAAAAATTCACAAAATTCTTTTTTCTTTGTTTCAAATCGTTTAAATATATTTTGACAAACCTAAGAAACATTGCGTGGTGAGTCCCATGAACATTTACAAAAAGTTGGAATAACATTTATACCAAACTAATTTACCAGTTGAGAAGCTCTTCCGCCAAATAGTGGAGTAATCCTGTACTCTGATTCTATGGATTTAATCAATCCTGTGGATTTTAAGGCTTGTTGAAATCCGTGAGGATCCAACTGATAAACTTCTCTCGACAAATTAAACTTTTCATCTATTGATCAAAGCAAAAAAAAAAAAAAAAAGTGATTAACAACATCAACAATTGATCTTCAATCACGGTGGAATATACATACAAGCCTCGAACATTTTTATCGTCACGTGACCAGCATTGGATAAACGAGACATTTCCATCAACTCTATCAATCCTCCAGGTTTCAATACTCTGATCATGTCCAGCAACATATATTTTCGCCAATCAACTTCACTTACAGAAGTAAAAAATCTTTGATGGACAAAATCAAAGGTGTCTTCGGGAAAGGGTAAACCATCTTTTATATTGTGATGAAGAAATGCGGCGTTGGGTAATTGAATTTCTATTCTAGCACGGTCTGAATCATCATCTACGCCGACAAATGTCGAATTAGGAAACTCGTTGGCCAGATCGCTCATCCAAATACCACTGCCACATCTATTATATTATATGGCGAGTTAGATTATACGAATCAACGCGGGGGATCTTTAAAATGTAAAGGTAAAAAAAAAAATACTTACTGAACGTCTAATACCTTCGCGCCGCTAGGCTCGAAAAATTCTTCAACTGGGGCAGAATAATTTGATTGCCAAATACATCTGAATAAAAAGTGTTGCATTTGTAATCTTTCAATATTTTTGTCAGCGCTTGGTAAAAAATATTCTCCCCCTTCAATATTTCGTAATTCTTTGGAATCTGAAGGCGGCAAAGGATCATAAAATCCTTGACTGGTTGAATCCATTTCGTCATCGTTACGTTGACTGTTTTTAGTAATTATCGCGGAAGTGTCGGAAATTGTTGATTCTACGTGTCTACGTTTAGTCTTTTTTTTGTTTTAATTTTTGATTGATCCATTGAGAATCTCGGAACATCATCAAGAAAATTTATAAATAATGCGAGAAAAAAAAAAAATAAAATAAACTTTAAAATCAAAACAAACGAACTTTTTAAGTTATTTGATAAAAAAAAATATAAAAAAAATCTATGTAATATATATAATAAATAATATATTTCTAAATAAGAAAGAGAGCGTGTGTCAGAAAAATATCTGAAAAAAAAAAAAAAAAATATATCAAAGGAAAATGCTGGTTAAAATTTAAATTTACAAATGAATATTTATACGATATTAATTGATAAAACAAAGCAAAGTCATAATCAAAGGTAGTGAGACGATAAACAGCAAAATCAAAAAAATTTTCACCTCAGGATTTGTTTGTTGTTTACTATGTCTGATAATCTCGTTCTTTATCAAAAGAGGGATGGCAAATTTAAAAGTAAAATGGGTTTATCAAAAAAAACTAGATGATGCGTATTCATCAATTTAGACCAATTGAAGTCACGTTGACTTCTTGTGTTTATAAATAAAGCTGCATTCGGCCGATTTTTGATATTTGGGATTGACGTAATTTTCTCACCCTCCCTGATATCTAACATCTAATAGGAAGGTGATTGATTGTGAGTTTAGTAACCTTGAATGCATGTAATCGCATTGGGTTCTGCAAGGAATTAATTTACATTGGAAAATTTTAAACTCGGAAAAAAGCAATTACAACGTTGGAAAATTATTTTAAAGGAATTGCTTATTTTAGTTAATTTGGTGGTTATGTTTTTTTCTCGTTTCATGTAGAATGGCTTGAGTTACATGGATGGTTTATTAAGAATCCTAAATCCAGACCTTTCAAACAAAATTTCTCAATTTTATTCAAATACGTGAAAAACGATTTACCCTATCTTTTTGCAGGTTCAAATACCCATTTCGATTAACGATAAATATTTTTTATCGCAGATATATTTCATTGTTTTATCAAGGAAAAACTGATGATTAAGAATAAACAAACAAAAAGGTTAGTTAGTCTATTGATAACTATTTAAAGTAAATTTTACCTCATGTTCGGAGTCAAGTAATACTTTTCGAAATTTTCTATCTCATGCAGATGCGATTAAGCAAAGCAAATTTGTGTTCTACTGCTTTTCCAGTTATCATAAAACTGTTGAAGATAAAAGAACAAAATGTTCTTTCCCCGTTATCATTGCTATCTGATACGGAATTGGCCGACAACGACTTATCAAAAGAATTACACGTGTTTTAATTAATTTCAATATGAACTTAAAGTTGCATCTATTATCAAATGACCAAGGAGATCTCTTCATTACTAATATCCAATCAAGAAGAAAACCAATACGAAGGAGATAATTGTAACGTCAAATAAAGAATTTTGTCCCAAAGCTAGTCTGAAATGGAAAGTATGATGAATTTTTACAAAAATGGTTTAGTTAAATGATATTATTATTATTGTTTTCGCTTTTTTGGGAGCCCAGGAATTTTTGAGGATCTACAAAATTGCATCCATATATAACTTAAATGCTCAACGCATTACATTTGGGCGTTTCAAAAAATAATATAAAGTCGCTAACAGTTAAGGAGTAAATTTATTCTGTTTGTCGACCAAAAAATTTTTAATTTGTAAATCTAATGCCTATCTAAACACATACACAACACCCCATGGATCTTGTTGATAATCCATTAAGACGTTCCCAAATTGGTCCCAAAAATATTATTTCCGATAGGCTTGAACCGTTTCCAATTTACCATGTAAATAGCATGTAAATAGATAACTGAATAATAGATTTTGTTTAATTATCATGATTATTTATCATATTATTATTTATTGTTATTATTATTATGATTATTTATTATTATTATTTAAATAATAGAAGCACTGATGCTGAACCGGTATCCATCGATTATGATCAATTTCAAAATGAAGATAATGTCGAAAATGACCGATATAAATTTACCAAAATCAGAAAGGATCTTTACCCTTTACACCACGTAATCTTTTTTCTTTTATTTATTTTTTTTTATTTAAAAAAAAAAAGGTGTCATCATCTTACCTTTGTGGTTTTACCATTAAGAATACGCATCAACTAGATTCTGATGATCTATATCGAACGCCTTTACAAAGGAAATTTTATTATTTCTTTGAAGAACCTCGATCGAAATGGGCTCAACTTTATTCATTTGTTTCTCTCCTCTGTGTATTGATTACAATAACTGTGATTTGTATTGATTCCTTGCCAACAGTTTTCATAATTAAACAAGTCAATGTGCGCATATGGTAATTGAAAATCTATATATATATATATATATTTTATTAAAAAAAGATATGCTAAGATAGTGTTGGAATTGTTTTAGGCTTCCATCCGATATTTTGGTAGTGTTTATATTCACCTTGGAATATTTGGGAAGATATTATGCTTCTATAAATAAGCTTAAATTCTTGGTTCATCCCTTAAATTTGTTGAATTTAATTTCAATCGTTCCATTTTATATTCAAATCGTTCATCCCTTTTCCAATGAGTCATATCTTCGATTTGTAAGAATTCTACGAGTGACGAGAATCATCAAATCATTGCAACGTATGGGGAGGATTTCTGATGGATTCATGGTATATTTAGTTTTTTCTTTTTTCTTTTTTTTTTTGAAATTACATATCACACTTCAAAAATTTTTTTTTTTTTCTCTTGTTCAGATTGCGACCAATGTATTTTTCATCTCGGCATATCAAATCATTTTAAATTTACTTTATTTAATACTTGTAATGGTGATTTCGTCAATCTTTATATATTATGTCGAAAGGGGAGAATTCGAGTCATATACAGAAACTTGGTATAGAACATTACCGGACGGAACCAAAGAGAAAAGTCCGTTCCAATCCGTGTTTCATTGTTTTTATTTCAGTATAGCTGCGATGACAACAACCGGATATGGAGACGACTTACCAATCACACTTCTTGGACGATTTCTTGCTACATTAACAACCATATCTGGATTATTAGTTATTGCATTAACTTCATCTATCATTGGAATAAATTCTGATTTGGAATGGTCAAAATATCAACGACGTGAATCCAGGGTGAATTTTTATGCCATGTGGAAAGCAATCGATGATGCCAATGTTGAAAAGTTAAGTAGCAAAGAACAAACCGCAAAGGCAGACCTCTTGGAGTTTCAGAATGGTATTTTAGTAGATCTCATAGAGGAAATTCAAGATAGGTTTAATGAAATTGACCCTCCAATGTATAAATTTAAATATGACAATTTACGGGTTGAATACAATCAAACAATTGGGAAATTATCTCAACTAGAACTGGAGATTAAAGAATACGAAAATTTAGGTAACCTAGATGATTATGAGCAACTTGATATAATCAAAAATGATGAATGATAATGAAATGGAAAAATGATTGAGATTGAGAATGTATTAAGTAATAATTCAGGTTAAATATGAAAACTTTAATAGGATTCACAACAAACAACCAATTTTTATACTATAACCATACAAAAAAAAATTCATAGATTTTTTTTCTTAAAAGAAATAAGACTTTTCATAATAATTGATTAGACAAAAAAGAAACTTGTTTTTTGTAGAAGTTTAAATATACATTATTACAAAGACAAATAAATGTTGCGTTAACTCGAATGGATGCTGTTTTGCAAAAAATAAATAAATAAAAATATATTAAGTTGTTCTTTTTCAACTATCATGACAAAATACTATAAATGGACAAAACCAACTTTCTAGTGATATAAATTTTTTTTTAAAAAAAAAACTCTCAATTCCAGGAGAGATTCAATCACGCAAGTTTTTAGAAAATGAGGTTTTTCAAAAAATTCGAATTTTCTGGAGTGGGCCCCAAAACCAAAAAAGTTTTTTAGTCTGTTACCGGGGATTTATGGTTATTTGAAGCACAATAATCAAGCATTTAACTGAGTGCGTCAGATGTCAGTTGACAGATCATCATCTGATAAAACGTGATAACATAGAAAAGTTTCCTTTCTTTACGTCATTTGGGAAATTGGATATTATTTTACTTCTCCTGATAAAGCTTAATGGGGTGCTGCACTTTTTGGAATTGCTGCGCTACTTTTTTGTGATTAACCATGATGGAGAATATTACATTAATAATGCTTTTTTATGGAGACTAGAAAGTATGGTTTTAATACACGCGTATATAAAAATCCGTATGCTATTTCCGGTTTCTAATCATTTTAAAACGGCTAGACTTTGAAATTTTTTAGCCTTCTATAAAAATTTTAAATTTATCAGACCAACATTTACTCGATACTAATCAGTTCGGTTTTTAACAAATACTACTTCAAAAAGGATTAATCATCTGGTCTAGATTTTTTTTTTTTTCGTGAATCAAGATATTCATCAAGATTATTTTAAAATTCAGCTCTGATGATCTGTATCACTGCATAGACGCCACTTAAAGACCCATGTTTCATGGTCTAGATTCAAGCAAACGGGAAATTTATTTAACGCGATTATTCAAACTATAAAATTTTTGTTTATATATAATATAATTACAGCCACATTCTTTTTTAAATTTTTTCCATTTTTTTTTTTTTAAATATATCGATTTCTTTAATTTTTACTAGTAAGTGTGGTGTTTCTTTTTTTGTTGTTGAAATTTGTAATGCACGGAGGTAACCAAGGGACCTCACTATTTATAATATGTAATTTAATAAACATCGAAAGATAATAATAATATAAATGCCATTCACAAATTCTACAACCATTAATGACGAAGAGATTAATGCTGAAGGTTCAAATAGAGCGCATATTGTAGCCATCGCTGTCGCTTCCGCAGTACGAGAAGCAAGCCAGCAAGATTGGAACTCAGCTTGCCGTTCAATACTCGAAAATAAATCACTTACAGTATCAGAAAAGAATTGTATTATATCGCTCTTACAAGACAAACAAATGTCGATATGTATGTAGATATTTATTTTGTGTTCATTATTTTTTTTTTATCTTTTGGTTGAATAAAACTTTTTTTATTTTTTTTGGCAGGAAAAAAAAAAAAAATAACTTTACCGTAAATCTTTTTTTTTTTTTTTCTATTTCTTTTTTTTTTTAAAAAAAAAAAAAAAAAAATCGATCGTTTCACAACATGTCATTTTCCGAGTATATCTCTTAATAATGATATGTTATAACGTGTAAGATTATAGATTTTTTGGATTTTTGTAGTCATATCTGATGTTATAAATAAAAAGAAGAGAAAAAATATGAATAAATGAATTCAATATGTAACTCCTACCATATTAATTCTTTTTTTTATCTTTTGAAGGGTACCAATCCTCAGTGTTCCTGATAAAATAAGGATAACAATTTCATAAAAGCTCTTTTTAAATAGTCATCTTGCAAGCTTGATTTCATCAATGTTGCAGGAAGTTTTAAAGATTTAAATTCTTTTTTAATAGCTTCTCAGAAAATAAAAAAAAATAAAATTGTTCGATGTTTTAAGCAATCAATTTTAATAGATGGTGACAAAAATGGGCAGCAGATCACAAAACAAGACCATATTTAGATAATTGCACACATGTTTTATCAATATTAATTACACGACCACATATGATAATTATACTTTGGCTGTGGTTGAACCGGATAATTATCACAGTTACTATGAGCAATACATTTATTGGTGGATTTTGCCACTTCGTGGCAAAATATCCATCATGTGAAGTAATCTCTGGTAACCCGTGAAGTTACTATCAATAGCTTTGTGAAATTTTGTAATTTTCAAATTGTTTACAATATACTGTATCATCCCTCTCGGAAAATCAAATAACGTGAATCGGTGACATTCATAATTCATTACGGGTATTTTTCAAATTCAAATTGTACTAATCAACCTTTATTTTAAAACGGATTATCAAAAAAAAATAAATGGGTTGATTGCTAGGAAAATCAGGTTCCGGGAATTTTTTATCAAAATTTAGATTATTATTGAATTTTAATTTTTGATATTATTAGATTAAAATGCATTAATCGTGACAATAATAACAAATATCATAACAATTAGAATAATACAATTGGAAAGGAATATATTTTTTCATATTTCGTGTTTAAGATATATTTTTAAGTGGTATTTATAAACGTAATCATCGTCCAATTCATAATCAGTTAGAGTTAGACATTACATAATGTCATATTTGTAATCCCCATAATAATCGCAATCTTTATTATTGTGAGGAGTTAATGCGTCGCGCTTTGTTAGAAGCCAAGTAGCAAAAAAGGTTATCTTAGGAATATATATATATATATTTATATATATATTTTGAATTCGAGCTTTTATTTTCTTTGAATCAGATCGAAGTGAAGATTCTTAAGAGATGTGGGGATGGGTTAATATAACTCAAATTTTTTTTATTCTAGTATAATCTTCCGAGGTTATGAAATTCCTTTGGATGGAAATTTTCAAAGTAACCGTACCCTTCCCTTTTAGAGATATGATCCAAACATGATAATAATAGCAAACCTCATTAAAAAGATCGACCTTCACGATAAGTGATTGTCAATGATAAATCCTTTAACCAATCAATTTTAATTTACAAACGTTAATAATGATGTGGATTGTATGAAAGAAATGATGATAGTAATTCCATATTAGACAAATGGAATATGAATGGCAATTTTTTGAAAATACGAACTTTACACTAAAGTTCTGAAAATGAACTTAATCAAGTTTCATTTTGCCGCCCGAATTTCAATTCTTTGTGGAAAATATTTCGTGACGAAAGCTTCAATATATAACAATTCACTAACGACAATAAAAACGTAAAAAAAAGTAAAGAGAAATTAGTTTTATTTTATTTTATTTTTTTTAATAAAACTTGCAAAGTCAAAAAAACAAAAAGTTTTTTTATTATATATATTTATATTTATAATTTATATATGTATATTTCTAAATTATTTACGTTGATATTTTTACTATTTGTTACTAATTAATATTTACTAAAACTATTAGTGTTTTTTTTTTTTTTTTTTTTTTTTTTTTTGACAAGAAAAAAAGTCCTTTTTTACATTGCAATGAATTGCAGTTAAAAATAAAATAATGACGCTATACATATATATGATTCACTTAAGTTAATTAAAGTATGAAATCAAAATAAAAAAGTTATATCATTCAAGGAAAATTTTTTTGGGACTAACGCATTGAAACCAATACGCGAGACCTGCGCAACAACCATTAGACGTATTAGCATAATCCAAATCAACATCGAAATAATCGAACAATCTTTCATAAAGCAATATGCCAAGATTTTGCTCTATATTTAGTTCTGATGCCAATATCTGTGCTTCCTCCAATGAAATCCTATAAAACCAGTAAGAAAATTTTTATTAACCTTGGCTTTCCCTTTACAGAAAAAGGGAAAATATTATTATTTTCCTTCTTTGCTCATTTAACGTACCATTTTCGATCGCTGTTTCTCGCCCTCCGTCCACCAGCTTCTAGTAATGAATATTTGTCAACGTAACCATTGTCAACTCTGCGCAACAACACGGTCCCATTCTTTGCTCTGGTCGTGAAAACTTCTAACCCATTTATTCTCATTATATGTATGTCAGGGGTTAAGGGGACCCTCGGTGATTCAGGATTACGTGTTGGATTTGGGGGCAAATAATTAAGGGATAAGGGTTGTATCACAGCATTCCTCTCCCCTGTATCGTGTGACCTTTTCGTCCTGTCCTTCGTGTCACCTGTAATTCCATGAGGCGCAGCAGCAGTTTCAATCGTTGGAGCTTTTGCTCGGATATTCTGAAGATTTTTTTGTTGAGGGGATTGATTTTCGGTATCACTGATAGATTCACCGTTTGTTTCTATAAAGTTGACATCTTTGTTATCCGACGGCGTCGTTGGAGTGTCAGCGTAACTTTGATCCTCACTTATGGTTGTGGTTGGTGAATCCGGTGGTGTTTGAGCCGGAAAGTACTCTGAAAGTAAATCTCGTAAAACGTTGTCAGGATCCAGAAAATAATATAATGATCTCTTTGTAATCGTTGGGTGAGGCTGCTTCCCTATAATTGGCTTTGGAATTATTCGTTGACGGACACGAGAGAAATGAGTTGATATGTGACCCGACACTGTGGCAAACGGGGTCTGCCCACTAATTAAAGTTGATAAAAATCATCTAAGTAATGGAAAAAAAAAAAAAAAGACGCCGATCAACACATGATTCTTACTTACCCTAACTGTGTAAAGTCATAATCCTGTATACAATCCGCAAGTTGTCTTGGACTTGATGGTTCATTATTTAAAGCAATTAGAGCTTTGATTATTGCGACAAGTACACGATCACCGGCGTCAATAGGATTTATCGTATGTTGAATTCTTGAATAGATTTCTTCCACAATTTGTTTATTCACTAACTTATTATCTTGTGACGAAATATTCTGCATAAGAAATTTGAAATGGGAAAGGAACAAAAAAAATAATATTTTTATTGAGAAGCAAAAAAAAAAAAATAAAAACTTTATCTACGAAAAATGTTGTCTAGTATAATACAAAAAAAAAGTTGTAAAACAGGAAACAAAAATTGATGAAAAGAAGGAAAAAAAAAAAAAAAAAAAAAAAAAAAGAAAATTATTGCTCAAAAACTGAATTTATATTGGTTTGGTGGCTTTTTTATATACTGATTTGGTCAATGACATTTTATTTATGTAATTTTTTTTTTTACTGCGCTTGTATAATGATTCCGGAAATCACCGAAAGGTTTTCCCGTGAAACATCAAGCCGTAGTTTTTGACACTTTTTAACAGATTTCTACAAAATAAGTGAATCGACAAAAGGGAATATGAATGGGACGCTGCGGTGAATCAATGATCTAACCAACAAGGGATGATTTGGCGTTTGATAGTCAACAATTTTTTATTTGGTTTTTAGACTTTGAACTTTAAAGTTTTATTTTTTCAACTAAAAAAAAAAATTTGCTAGAATTGAATGGATCGAAAACGCTGCGCCATCGAACAAACAAATCAGAAATCGCCGAATAAATCGTACCGTTGTACCAATTGATTGGTTTATTTAAAGAATTTTATTTTGCTAGAACAAGCTTTTGCATTTATAATTTTATGATACAATATTTTATATCGACAAATAAAATAAAAATTAAAAATAAAAAAAATTAAAAAATTAACTTTTTTTCTTTCGTTTAAGAACCAACGTGAAGCTTTATGTCGCAAGAAATTCGGGTGACATGTTGATCAGCTGTTAGCGTAAGATTAACGTGTTAACATTTTTTTTTTGTTTTTAGTAAGAATAAAGAATAGAATAAAGATTATAATTACCCGAAAGATAGTTTTCAAAGAATTCTAAGTTTCAAAAAAAAAAAAAAGATTGATGAGAAAATTCTGCTCAATTGTTCAAAGACCATATATTATACTTACGAATATAAACGGTTGAATTATCTTTAATACGTTGCCAGGGAACACTGGCTTGGTGCGGTTGCCCATCTAATTTCTGATCAGCTACGACTTCATAAACCTTAGCTTTACTCTCATCGAGCAAAATGACGTGAAGGGAAATGATTTCACCCTCTTGTGGTTGAGTAGTTTCGTATGAAATATTAATTGAACCTTCATTTGGAATAGTTTCCTCTGGTGTTGGGGATATTACATTAATGTTTTTTAGATCACTTCTACAATCAGGCAAATTACTCTGGGCAGTGGTGATTGTAATAAGACAGATAATAATGAATAATGTGAATATTGATGAAGGTTTGAAATTCATTTTTGAAGTTTGTTTACAATTTCCAAAAGTGGGAAAATATTTGTTTTCGCAAAACTCTTTTTTTGTTTTATAAAAAAAAAAAAAAAAAAAAAAAAATGAAAATGTCGAGATGTATTTTTAAAGAAAAGGATTTTTTTTTTTTTTTTTTTTTGCTTGGTGGCTTTTTAATGTAAAATAACGCGCGCATGAAATGGTTAGAATCATAAAAGATGATTCCCGAATTTCCTCACTTTCACCTTTACGATTAAGTGCATAATAAATAATTACCCTTTTCAACAAGGCATTTTGATTACAAGATCAAAGCCACAAAAAACTTACCAAGCCACAAAACCTTCAATTCGGGATTTTCGATGAAGAAATTTTTGTTTTGAATCAAAGCCATTTATTAATTCGTGGCGTGTCAACATAAAAAAAAAAAAGGTATGATAATTTTAACCGATTATACCCTAATTTACCAATCTATCCAAGCCTTCAAAGATCAAAGTAATTTGGCCTTCGGACGATAAAGTGGCTATGTTGTCTAAGCCTTTATTTAAAAAATTGATAAGCCTTTGAAAGGAAACCGCAGCAAGTTTGAAATACTGCCATCATTAAATACTTTATTAAAAGAAAGAAAAAAAAAAATAAAATAATTAACTTATTATTATTATCACTATCTTTACATACATATGAATTTAATATATTTAATATACAATTAAGGTGTTGTGGTTTTTTTTTTTTTAAAAAAAAAAGAAATAAAATACATTTTTTTTTTTTTTTTTTTTAAGTATTATGTAAATGATTCGCGGAATCATTTATTTGTGTAATTTGAGCAGGTGAAGTCATTAATGTTTTGGATTGAATTTGTAATTGAAAGGAATTCACCACCCTATCAAGGTAATAATAAGCAGATTCGCCTAATTCAGATTCGTCGGTACCAAGTTCTTCTTCTTCAGGATTCATCCTTAACCTCAACAAGGGAATTTTATTAAGCACGTATAATATTATCCCGGTTACGACAAACGAATAAGAAAGACCGGCAACAGAAGAAGCTAATTGATATGCTAATTGAACATAATGCCCGTTTATAACTCCTCCTAGAATCTTTTCACCACCAAGAGCCGCAATTTCTTTATCGGCAAAGATACCTGAAATCAAAGCGATTTTGACAAGTTAGTTTACAACTAAATATATACCTACGAGAAGTAAAGGCTGAATTTAATATTCACCGAGAAGAATGTTTCCACAAATGCCTCCAATTCCATGAACGGCGAAAACATCCAAGGCATCATCAAAATCCATAAGATGTTTTAATTTAACGGATAAATTGCACAAGACTCCTCCACAGATTCCGAATATCACAGAAATAGGTGGTGTGATGTACCCACTCGCTGGAGTCACGCAAACCAATCCCGCAATCGCGCCAGAGCTACATATTTTTGACGTGGTTTAAGTTAGTTCAATTCGATTTCTTTATGACAATCACAACCAAAAAAAAAAAAATTTACCAAAATCCTAAAGCAGAGATTTTTTTTTCCAATCGATAATCCATTAGCATCCATGTAAGGCCTCCAAAAGAAGCAGCCAAATTTGTAACCATAATGGCCATGGCAGCTCGAACATTTGCTCCGAATGCGGAACCACCATTAAATCCAAACCATCCAAACCACATTAACGTGGTGCCGAGGATGATATTTACGATATTATGAGGTTTAAATTCATCCCTTCCATGTCCGTGACGTTTCCCAAGCATCAAGCAATAAGCGAGAGCGGCAGCTCCAGATGCAATGTGCACGGGAGTACCACCCGCGAAATCGATTCCTCCTATTAATTTAAACCATCCATTCGCCGACCAAATCCAGCAAGCGATCACATCATAGACCAATGTCGTCCAAATGAAAATGAATACGAGCAAAGGACCCATACGAGCTCGCTCCGCTGCTGCACCAATAGCTAACGCCGGCGTAATTGCTGCGAACATACACTGATAGATGGCGTGAACAAGCTCCGGAACAGATTCAATCTTTAAAGTTGGATCTCCCCCGACATTCATGAAGAATGCATTCCGTAAATTTCCTATGAATGGGCCTCCTGTCCTACTAAATGCAAGACTGTATCCCCATATAAACCACTAAAAATGAAATACAAATTTCAGGTTACCCTCGATAAGGAAATTCTGCGCCACTGAGATAAGATACAAATTATCGTGATAGCGAAATCCGATAAACCCCGGGAGTATAGAAGAATTTTATTTTTTTTTTTCGAGGTCCCTACCTGTATTGAAACGATGGGCACGGACAAGAAACATAACATTATTAAAGATAACGCATTCTTGCTTCTCGCCATTCCACTATAGAAATATCCTACGCCGGGTACCTAAGGTTGAAAAATTGGTTGATGTATCATCAGCTTTGGATAGCATAATGAATTATAATATGGGACAACATTAGGTTCTGGAAATTTGTTAACGAAATGGGTAATTTTATTGCATTTGTTGATTTTAGTCAACAAAAGTGTTTCAGAACAACCGATTTCTTAGCAATTATCCCATATATGCTAATGTATAATTAAAAAAGGTAGTATTTACCATGAACCATACAAGTGCTGTTGAAGCTAGCATCCATGCTATATCTCCATCATCAAATTGAGGCGTAAGGGCACTATCTGCCATTTTTTATTGTAATAGATGTGAAAATTTTTTTTGTTGGAACCTAAAAATTTGGTGAGAATGAGGAACATTTAAAAAAAAAAAAAAAAAAAAAATATGGTTAATTTAATTATATATATATTCAAAAATTAAATTTGTTACATTAAGAATCTTAAAATATATTGATAAATGTAAATCAAATTTGATTTATAATGATTCACGTGCTCATTAATTTTCTTTTAAAGGCAACCTATTCGGTAAAGATAGCTATCTAAATTCCTTCTGCGGATATTCATTGATCGTGAGAGATTTGTAATACGAATAACAAATAAGAATAAATTTTACATTGTTAAAGTATCCTTACCTAATGTTATGCAATAATCATAAACATGAATTACTCCAATTACAAAACCTGATAAATTCGTTAATTTATTTATTTTTTTTTTTATAATAAAAAAAATTATTATTATAAAAATAAAAAGAGAAAGAGAAAATTAAAAAAAATACAAATTAGAAAAAATGAAAATTAATTCCAAATTTAAAACCATTAAGATAATTTGTTAGAGTAATTTCCAAAAAAGGTGAATTGCTTGGTAATTATTTTATTTCGACCTTATTCGTAAGCCATATGTATCCCATATTGAGTTATGATCATAAAAGATATTCGGCGTTTCCACATGTTAACAAAAATAAAGCGAAGTAAACCTCATTATTATCAATTATACAGTATTTCACCTAATTACAACAATTTAAGGGTTTTATTGTCTTAACAAACCGAAATTAATAAAGATACGACCAGGATCCAATCATGTTATGTTGAACATAGATACACTCGATTTGGGGTCCATTTGCTATCGACCGGATCTAACTGATAATGAATGTGTAACCTTTTTACAAAAAGTCAATTTCGCGGAACTATCGGAATAAAAATTATAAATATGGGGCATTATTCAACCATAAAGTTTTGTTCAATATATTTTGAGTTCAAATGAAACCAATAAAACTTATTTCCCTTCATCAATACCTTCTAATAATCAAAAACAATGATAATGTTATACAAACGTTAACGAATCAATATCATTCAAGTCCATTATTACTAATTTCAAATCTATTTATAAAAATCAAGAATGTACAATATTCGGACTTTGAATGGATAAAAGAATGTTAAAACGCGTGCTTTCTGACACTTTAGTTAAAATAACGTTTCCTTGAAAGTAAACGTTACACGAGAACTTTCGGTCATATGCGGAGATGATAAAATTTTTTGGGCTTTTGGGTGAGAACACTTGTACTATGGAATCAGAAAATTCGAAGGGATGAATAAAAGAACATGCTGCGAAACCTGTAAAGTGGTATTCTTTCAATGAAGGATCGTTAGACATGATTTCATTAAGACTTACACTGTAAACAAGACGAGTTTTGAATCATGTGTTACGTCTATATTGAACATGAAAGCCCTTAGTCATAGATGATGCTTGCTTTTTTTTAGACAATTGATGCGAAAGTTTTAGTGATAATCACTCCCAAAAGTGGGTGGTGAATGCAATAATGTCCATCAAGACCATTTACAATCGTAGGGAGAGTTATAATTTCCTTGGCACCGGCCACCTAGATCAATTTTTCAGATGCTTTACAGAAACTTGGTTTTCTTAATACTAACTGCAAAGTGACTATATAGTAATTATATAGTTACTACCTTACTTAGTAGTAGCTTAATCGTAGCCTAATAGGTACTATGCAGTTACTGCATAGTAAGGAAACAAAGTTTCTGTAAAGTGGAATTGAAAGAAGAGTAGAGGGCATTACTGCACTGAAGAAACAGTGGCGTTCTTGCTTATACACTCCATACAAATTAATACTATTTATATGCCCTTTGCAATAAAGTCCGAAATTTATTTTTATATGTCAAATATGTTTTTTTAGGAGATGTGTTTAGATTTAGTATTAGCTCATTCTTTATTTTCCCGGCAGCTTCTCACCTTTCTATTGCAATGGTGTTATGGCCTGTTTAACATGAATAAATTAATTTTGAAATTTTCAAATGATGCCATAATTGCACATAATTTCAAATACGTTGTACAGTACATTTATTAATTTGCAACACGGATTTTATTAATGAAGAAAACGAGTCAAATGAAGAGAAAAAATTTATCACAAAAAAAAAAAAAACGCGAAAGAAAATTGTGGTGACCCCTGACGTGTAACAAACACCAAGGAGTAATAATCTTACAACAGAGACTCGTGTGATGCAAACAAGATTTACAGATTTGCAGTTGTACATATTATTTATTTGTCTACAAAACTTAACTTTTTTTTTTTATCGAGTACCCAAAAAATAAAAAAATTATAATCTATATCAATTTACAAAAATTTTACAGTACAGTATAACCGTATAATTAAGCATAGTATTAATTTACAAAGGAGCTATTCGAAAGGATTCGTCTTGCCGTCTTGATATTCCTTATCACTCTTCTCCTTATATTGTCCGATTCTCGTGAATTTTTTTACTACCAGCTTGAAAGTTAAACGTCGCTTTTTCTTTATAATTTCATTTGTTGGTTCTTCATAATCCGAATGATTCTTAATCATTTGATTTTTATTTCTTGTAAAAATAGGAACATATGGTTGTATTATTTCCTCAAACTCATCAAAGAAATCTAATTCTTCGAGCTTATTCTTATTATATGACTCGTCATGCGAATCCGAAAATGATATTTGATGTTTTACTTGATTTTCTGAAACCAAAAAAACACTTGAGTTATTGTATTTCTTATAGGAGATTTTTTCTAAATCAGATTTCATGATAATCTTTGTATTTCGAAAAGGAAAAGTTGGAAATCGTCGACGAATATCCGAGAACCTTTTTATGGTAGATTTACTTTTAGAAGATGGTTGCGTTGTAAAAGTTTGAGTAGTGGACTTTGACATTTTAATTTTATTATTTCTAACAAAATAATAATAGATGATGATGATGATGATGATGATGATAATAATAATAATAACAAATATACAGAAAAAATGAATTGAGGAATTTTTTTGTATTTCGAATCTTAACTCGTTACTTTTTATAATGAATTTGTACGTGTTTATCATGAAAAAATGATAGATACCAATGTAGCAATCTCGGGTAAAACCTGCTCTATTATTTTATACTTATGAGGTTTAGAAGCATCCTAAAATGTATCCTTGTGTAATTGTTTATGCATAATCAACCTTTCTTCTTCCTGAATTTTATCTTTTTTTTTTTTTTCAATGTTTAACCTTAAAATGACGAACAAGCGCAACTATAAGTTTTTCTATCAAATTCATGCATTTCAATCACACATACCGTTTTCTATCATTCACCCGCCAATTCATATCAACACATAGGTTTAGACTTAGGATTAATATTTAACATACAATTGTTGTTTATTCAAATATATTAACTATTGTCATTTTATAATTTTTCCTTTTTAAAAAGGTTATTTCTATTTATGACCATCATAGAATATGGCGTGCATCGTTAATCATTTCATTTGTTCCATCTTTCGGGGATCTTCTTTGATAGATCCATAGAAATGTGATTGTAGAAACGATTTAACTTTTTTTATTTTAATGGTTTTTTTTTTTTTTTTGTAAAATCATTAGTAACAGAGTTAGTTAGTTTAATACATCAAATTTATGAAAAAGACTATGAATTAAAATATAATAGAATTTTTTTTATTTTGCAAGCAACAAGATGATACAATCTCGTTTGTTTTTTTTTTAAAAAAAAAAGGAGGGAATTACAAAATACAAATTCATAGATATGTTCGATTATGTAGCTAATCAATTATTCATGTAGGGGAGATATGTTTTTTTATACAGATTTCGCATGTCATCCTAGTGGGGGAATGGCGGGAATGTAAGATACTTTAAATTTTAAAAAAAAAATGATGTTACACAAAACTTATTTTGTAAATAATAAATAAAAAAGAAAACTTCTATATGTTTTCCGGAACGTTCGATAACTCGATTATGATGTGTTTTAAGAATGTTTCATGTGATATATCAAATGATTCAAAGTTAATTTAGTTTCCTTTGAGTTGTTGTGCTTCTTGAATTAGAGCGCAAGGACCACAGAAAATATGTGTGCAGCAATCTCCACAGGCGTTTCCCTAATAAAAAAAAAAATCATTAATCATCATCATCATAATAATAATCGGTTATTTAATTAATTAGATTGTTCCTTACGTCAATGTTTTGGTTGTTTCGGATCTCTTGACGTTTCAAGCATCCAAATACCCATGGAAGTCCAACGCAAGCATATAAGAGTCCGTATACAAAACAACTCCCTCCCAACTTTTCTGCGTTTTGTCCCTACGTAGAAGATGAATTCATGTTATTTTTTGATGACATCAATTCATGTAAAAGAAAAAAAAAAGCCGAGACTTACATAAGTTACACATGGGAAAAGGCACGTACAAAAACCTAATAATATGTTTTGTTTTAAATTGTTTTTAATAAAGTTTCCCGTATGCGGGTAAAAAAAAAAAAAAAAAAAAGGAACTAATGCGTACATAGCCCACAATCATTAAAGCAATCGCATAAACCGTGCTTCCATTCTTGCTTTGGGGCATTGTTATTATTTCCACGAGATTGGGCAGTATTCATTTGTTGAGTTTGAGTGTAAGACATCTTGGAAAAAGTTTGTACAATAAAAAATTTATTTTCAAAAGTTTTATCTGTTTTTTTAAAAACAAGAGATTTATCTTGCATCCTTTTTATACTTAAATTTCGTGATCAATTATAAACCAAATTCAAGATTAACTCCGACATTGCTTACTCCGACATAGCGTACAATTTAATTATTACAAGACATTGTTAGAACGCTCAGTTACTCTTTTCAACTTGATAAATATCGATTCGGAGTTATTTTTTTTTTTAACCGACTTTGTAACACGCATAAAACTCCGGTTTTTTTTTCCATATTAATAAATGAGTGAGATTGTTCGTGTAACGCTTGGGCTTTCATTTAAAAAGAGCGGTTCATTCATACGATTTTTGACATGTTACGAAACGAACTAAAAAAAATCTTTTCTTATAATGGTTAATAAATTCCCAGTTATTGTATCACAACTAGCTCTGTCAAACCTGTGTACCAAGCGTACGAGATATTTGTGAAATCATTTGAAAATGAAAATGCAATAAAAATGTTAAAAACATGTGTAAAATGGGATTCAATATTTAGGAATCTTTTGAATTTCGAATCATCTAAAAGATTACGCCCATCATAAAGAACGTTCTGGGTGATTACTTTAATATTAAATTTTCTCGGCAGATTTTTTTTTAAGAATTTCATTTTGCAATTTGCGTAACCAAATATAGAATCTTTGATTCTTGAAAAAAAAAAAAAAAAAAAAAAAAAAAAGGAAATTTATAATTTTTGTTCGATGATTAATGGTATTTTATGCTAACGTCTGTTTTATTTTATTTTATTTTATTTTTTTTTTTCAGTCTTAAATTCTAAGAATGAGAAAAAAAGAACTTTTGTTGGTGTACGAAATAATTTTCTCAAGGTATGACAAAAGCAAGCACAATGCCAATCGAAATTTTGGATTAATGAATCACCTTTTTTATCTTTACGAGTAAATTTGCGCCATTTTCTCGTGTATTTAACATCGCAAACTGAAATTTAAACAACAATATTTGTGTACATTCTTAACCAAAAAAAAGATAATAATAATAATAATTAGTTAATTTCTCGTGACGAGTATGCTTTATATCAAAAAGTCAATTCCCTCGAGCATGACTGAAATTTAAGTTTAATTACACTTTCAAAATACATTCGGACCGGGAATTTGAGAAAGAATCAGTTTCATCAAGCTTTATTGAACGGGTTTCACATACTTTAAGAGGAAAGGAATCAGCCAAAATATTTGCTTCCATATTTTGTTGTATATAAATACTGTAAAATAATACAAATATTTCCCAAATTATACATTAAAAAGATAAACTTTAAGTTCTTGTACTGCTTGAAATTATTAGACGACAACAGAAACAATTCAATGTACACAATAACTTCCCTAAATGTTAATTTTTAAAGATCATCAAAAAATGGGTTTAATTAAAACTTATGGTTTCTCAAATTCAAAAAAAAAAAATTTACTTACAAATGTTACACATGGACAAAATTTTTTTTGTACATCTATTGTTTCCAAGACACTTTGAAATTTTACGTTGAGAAAATTCTATTCGATTCATACACTCGAACAATCAACAATAGCTTATTTTTTGAAACATTTAATATCAAAAATGTTAATAGTCTGACATCTTATAAATAAAATGTGTAGTAATAATTCCACCTATTAAATTTAAAATATAACCGGATAATTATATCGTAACTTCACCGATAACTTCAATTAAATCATTATAATGTATAATAATACTTTCTAAAATCAGTACCTTCCAATTATTTCAATAGTGTTTATACATAGAATTGTATATTATGTGAGGCATTATTACTTAAATCCTGGCATCTCTTCAAGTGGTGCTGAATCTGTTCAGAAGTACGGCAGAGAATCTGCATTCAACGCAAATGTAGCGTTGGCTTGGTGTTCGTTGTACAAGTAAAGGTTCCAAATGAGCATTAATAAATATTTAAATATAATATACTGTTTTTAAAACATTAGTTAAAAAGTTTTTCTATAATGGATATTGAATTTATTGCAAATTCAAACTGTGATTGTATATCGGAACAGTCAAGTTAGAGAAATAAACTTCTTGTTGTTCTTGGAGCTGTCGTTGTTTCTTCTTTCTTTGAAATCGTATATATAAAGCTGTTAAGCTTGCATATAAAAGTGTGGTTCCTGCAACCAACGCTCCAATTAAAATTCCTCTATTTGCTGAAAATGATTGTTCTGTAATGTAGACGCATCATTAAAAAAAAGTTCGCTCGTCATGAGAGAAATAAAGCATTGTAAAGTGAGTTGACCTCACAAAATTAAAAAAAAGAAAATGTTATACCTGCATGTATATTTTGAGGAATTGGATAAGTTGGATCCACATACTGATTCAATACTGTTCCCTCGGTATAGAATTTACTTGTAGGATCTTTAATAACGTGAATCGCATCATTCACATATTCATTTGGTATAGCCAATTTCAAAATCAAACCATTTCCGGGTGAATTTTCTAATTTAATTGTTTTGATATCTTTTTCTGATATCCCAATACTATTAGCGAGATCTCTGGGCATGAATTTTATAATTTGCGCGGCAAATGTTGGGTTGTCTATCACTTCCTTCCAATTCATTTGATTCAATTTTAACGCAATTTCTGTTTCTTTTGATTTAAAAATTATTTAATAAAATGAAATTAGTTTGTATAAAAGGCATGATGGACGTGTACCTGATTTTTCACGTGATTCTTCAGAAACCTCAATTTCTTTGGGCAAATCGGGAAAAGTTGATGATGTGACGGTTGGTGAAATAACTGTTGGTTTTGGAGGAGGTAATGATATCGCTATAGAAGTTGGTGGAATAAAGACATCTTCTGATGTTCCTTCGGATGTAACTGCTTTCGTCTCGTCAATTATATTTGGGAGAATTGGTCTTTTCATTTTTTTCTTTTCCTTTTCCTTTATATCCTTTATTTGTGGTTTTCCATTAGATTTATTATGAATTACAATTTCAAAACAATAATGCCGAGATTTACCTTTGTTTCAGCTTTCTCCGGGTTCTTTTCAGGCCTTTTGTCTTCCCCTTGTTTTGGTACTTCCTGTTTTTTGGGTTCTTCCGCTTGTTTTGGTGCTTCTTGTTTTTTAGGTTCTTCCACTCGTTTCGGATCAATCTCGGGTTGTTGATCTACCTGTTTTGGAATTTTTTTCTCTGGCTCTTCAGATTGTTTTTGTTCCTCTTCTTGTTTTGGAGCTTCCTCGATTTGTTTAGGCTTATTTTCCTTCCCATTTTTTGGATCTACAGATTTTTTTGGTCTTTCTTTCACTTGTTTTGGTTCTTCTTTAGTCTCAGGTTTCTTTTCTTCCTCAGTTTCTTCGGGCTTCTTTACCTCCTCTTTTTTTTGTACTTCTTTGTTCACTTCAAATTTTTTTGCCTTTTCTTGTTTTGGTTCCTCTTTAATCTCTTCAGGTATTTTTTCTTCTTTCTGATTTTGTTCCTCTTTGGTCTCATCAGGTTTCAACTCTTTAGGTCTCTTTTCTTCATCTTGGTTTGATTCTTCATTTTTCTCCTCAGGTTTCTCAGGTTCCTTATCTTCGAATTGTTTCAGTTCTTCTATTTTCTCCTCAGGTTTCTTATCCTCCACTTGTTTTGGTTCTTCATTTTTCTCCTTGGATTTCTTATCCTCCAATTGTTTCGGTTCTTCTTTTTTCTCCTCAGGTTCCTTAACCTCCAATTGTTTAAGTTCTTCTTTTATCTCCTCCACTACTTCTGGTTCTTCTTTTTTCTCTTCAATTTTCTTATCCTCCACTTGTTTTGGTTCTTCATTTTTCTCCTTGGGTTTCTTATCCTCCAATTGTTTCGGTTCTTCTTTTTTCTCCTCAGGTTCCTTAACCTCTAATTGTTTCGTTTCTTCTTTTTTCTCTTCAGGTTCCTTAACCTCCAATTGTTTAAGTTCTTCTTTTTTCTCCTCCACTTCTTTTGGTTCTTCCTTTTTCTCTTCAATTTTCTTATCCTCCACTTGCTTTGGTTCTTCTTTTTTCTCCTCGGGTTTCTTATCCTCCACTTCTTTTGGTTCTTCTTTTTTCTCTTCAATTTTCTTATCCTCCATTTGTTTCAGTCCTTCTTTTGTCTCCTCGGAATTCTTGTACTCCACTAGTTTCGGTTCTTCTTTATTCTCTTCAGATTTCTTTTCTTCTACTTGTTTCAGATCTTCTTTGGCTTCTTCAGGCTTCTTTTCTTTTTGTTTTAATATTTCTTTAATCTTTTCAGGTTTCTTTTCCTCTACTTGCTTTGGAATTTCATTTTGCTCATTAGTAGTTTGGGCACGACGATTAATTTCTTTCAAATGATAATGATTATTACAATTTCTTTTAAATTGTAAAGAATCAAAGAATTGACGACATTTTAATAATTTTTGGTCATTATAACTTTCAGATTGATGAATTATTATTAACAAATATAAAACTACAATCAAAAGTAACCATCTAATAAAACGCATTTCTCCTTTATTAACAATCATTATTAAATATGATTAAAAAGAAAAGAAAGGAAACAACAAAAAGATGGAATTGAAAGGAAATATTGCGGATATCAAGTGAATTTTTTGTTAAGTATGAAGAACGTTTTTTAGGAAAATGATGAGTATAATAATATGAAGGTATTTGGATTGAAAGTAAGTCTAAATTATTTCTTATACGTTAGATAAGTGAGATTCTATTGGTAAAATTATTAACAGTGTATGAAAGGTTGTGGAGAATTAATGAAAGAAATAAAGATGAAGAATTCTTCAAATTCATTGAAAACGAAGAATAGATGTGGTGGTGTATGGAGGAAAAGAGAGTAAAAAAAATAAAAATAAAGGAGTGATATTTTTTTTTTTTCTGCCTCACATTAATTTCAAAGGGCAAAAAAATGAATTTTTGCAAACCTCGTAAAAATGTTTCTAAGGAAAGAAGATTAAAAAAGGATAGAAAGCAAATTTTCTTTTTGTTTCGATAAAATTATATACAGACGCAACGATTTGTTTATCATTGATATTTGTATTACAAGAACCATGAATAAATAACTTTGAGAAAAAAAAAATGCTGCATTCCAGAATCGTAATTTCTCGGGTTCACATTCACTTTAACCAATTATTTTTTTCAAAAGGGGATAAAACAATTTCTCGATAGGTTAATTTGATCGTGTTGCCTGCATTGATGTTGTACTACCAATTATCAAAGAACCAATTGATCATGTTAGTGATCATCTCCTTTCTGAGTTATCAGTTAAATTAAAAACTTGTTTCTCTAAATTTATTTTCATATTTTTTTAAAGGTCATGGTCATTGAGATCTTATAAAAATGTAATTTCTTTTGATAATGACAAATGTTCCATTACGTGCATAAAGCGAAATTGCACTTTGAATTAATATTACGTGTAAAGATGTTATTTTAGTCCATGACCCTGGAATGTTTTATTGATCTTGGAAAAAAGAAATATTCTGTGGTACTGCAGAATCGTGATCTGTTTGGTGTTTTCCCATCGGTCTTTTGGCGTTCCTAATGCGCCACGTAATTCTTGCCGCAGTTCTTGGACACGGATTTTCAAAAATGTCATAAAATTTCACGTGATATTTTTTGTCACCGGTGTCACATCCTCCGCGTTTCAATTTTTACCAAGTATTATGGGAACAGAATTTTTCAGTAATTAATTCCAGCCAAATGCCGTGATGCCGGCCATTTTGTGACATTTTTTGAAGTGTACGCAGGGGAAGTCCCATCACATACCTTATAAGGAATAAGTTTTTTTAGAAAGATATGCAGACAAATTTTGCTGCTTAACACGAAGCAGGTTTCGGTGTTACAAAATATTCCTCAGTATTTGGATTATTTATAGGGTTTGAAAAGTCTTAAAAAGTCCTAATTGGTCCTAATTAATTTTAAAAATTAATTTTTTTAAATATTATCCTTTATAATAATTTTTTTTTAATTTAAATTACTTATTAAAAAAATTAAAAATTAGTTTAAATATTAGATTTAGGATTTAAATCCTATTTTAATTAAGTAAATTTTTAATTTTTTATATTAGTAAATTTCTAAATATAAATAGGGTGTTTAGATCTGATGTTATAGAACTATCCCTTAAACTGTAGAACAGGCAAATTTGCCTGCAAACATAAAAAAAAGTATAAATTTTTTAATTTATAATTTTTTTTAAAAATTACAAATTTTTAACTTATAAGTAATCTTAAATTATTTATTATATAATTAAAAAATAAAATTTACTATAATATTATATATATTTATAAATTTAATTTAAAAAAAAAATTTTTTTAAATTTTAATTTTTTATAAAAGTAAATCAGAAGACAATTTATAGTAAATAAGCAAACAAATGTGTCAGTAAATTTCTACAGTTTAAGGAATAAAAGTTTTTAGAAAAGGTATTTGAATTTGATATCACAGAACTATAAATTTTAAAATCTTTATTTATAATATACTGATTACAATAAAAGTATTACTTATATAATTCTTCATTTTTACCATTTATTTTTTATTAAGTTTATAATATTCTATAATAATTGCAATCAAAATGCTATAGATATTTTTATATATAAACAAAATACTACTTTAGCGTATCATATAATATATATCAAACTCATATAATCAACACTTAATATAGCAAACTCTTGATATTTGAATAAATATAATAAAAATAATCTTGTTATAGTGAATTAATTAATCAAATTTTTTAAAATCTTTATTATAATCTTATAATGAAGTTGAGGTCTAAGATATAGAGTTCATCATAACAAAAGTTGACTATATTTATTACATTATTGAATTTTTGTTAATTAACTAAATAATAATATATTTATTTTTTTTTTAATAATACTTATTAATATTTAACAATACTTTACAAAATAAAATTCTAGATATTATACCTCTTATATAACATATTATTTTAACATATTTTACATAATATATTTTTTTTGATGAATAATATGCTAATGATACTCTTATATCATATACTTAAAATAAATATACTTTTATTCTAATACACCCATGTTATATATTGATAAAGCTACTTTGATATATTTTTATATCATATATTACTCTAGATAAATAATATATTTTTATAATACATCTCATGCTATATATTAATGATATTACTTTAACACATATTATGTTATATATACTTCAAATGATCTAACATATTTTATATTATATGTATATTAGTATTTATTTATTATTATAGCTTCTTAATAATATTTTGTTTAATTTATTAATAGCCTTCTAAATCAAGTTTATCAACATTAAATAACATCTTATAATATGATAAATCTAATAGTAATAGTAATAATCAATCTTTAGAATTAGTTTCTAAATTTACTTTTATAAGTTAAGATAAATTCAAGAATAGATTAGATAGGTTTATATTAAAAAAGAATTTAATTATAAAATTAGAATAAGTAAAAAAATCAAAGAATTATAAGAAGGGCTTACTTATAAATATACTAAATCTAACTTATATAATCTATAAATTTGCCATTTTATTCTAATTATTTTTACTTAGATATAATTATTTAAATTAATCAATTTATTAAAAGGATTTATATAATATAATATATTAATTTCATCAAAAAAATAATTCAGAAAATGCTAATGCATTTCATATACTTTATAATTACTAAAATAGAAAAATTTAAAGCTACTTTAAATAGTAAAACTTTGATTAGAATATATCTTAAGAAAATTAAGCTCTCTTTTTTAATGTCTCCTATATAAAGAGAATTATATAATAAATATAATGATATTATAATAATTGATATTACTTATAATATAAATAAATTCTAAATAATACTTTGCATTATTATTATAATTGATAACAACTATAAAACTAGAATTATAATATATGCTATCATTGAAGATAAACATTAGACACTTATTGATAAATCTTTAATATAATATTTACTGAAATAAAAGTTTATTCTAAAATTATCTTTACTAATTCAGATTCTACTATAATTCTTTTAATTAAAGAAATTATCTTAATACCTAGTATTTATTATGTATTTTTCATATTAATTTAAACTTTTGAAAAAATTTAAAAAAAAATTGGAAAATCAGTTTAAGAAATTTTACCATAAGTTCTATGCATATTATAATTTTCTCTATAAAAAAACTATTTAAATACTAATAGAATAAGTTAATAAATTAGTATCTAATAATAGCAAAATATCTATTTAAAATACTTTATACTAAAAAGGAATCATAGACAATACCTTGAATATATAAATAATTTACTAGTGATATATAAAATACTTAAAAAATAGAATATATCAATAAATAAATATATAATAAAATTAAAAGAACTATTTTATTATATAATCTATTATATAATATTAAGAATTATATTAAAAATGAAGAATACCTTAAAAGGTTTGAAGTTAAATTAAATACATTATTTATAATTAGTATGCTAATATTAATACAAAATTTTTTAATCAAATAAATATTATAAGTAAAAACTTTTTAATATTAGTAATATTTAGGAAACAACATTTTCAAATAAATCAATAAGTATATTATAATACTAATAAGATTACAAAATAGTAATAATTAATAAAGGTAAGTAATTTTGATATTTTGTTAAAACTCATTAATTATCTATTTATTAGATTTTATTAGAATTTGATAAGTTTTATTTATATGCAATCTTGTAACTAATAATTCATATTTTATTATTTTTATATAGAAATTAATGATGAAGAAATAAGTATTAAAATTAAAAAATAGTAAGATCTATAACAAATTTTTTTTCAAATACTAATCAAAACTATTTTATTAAAAACTATTATAGAAATATAACAAATATAAGTAATTAAAACTAAAAGAATATGTCATTATATAATTTTTCTTGAAGAAGAAACATATTTATATATCTGCTTTTTTTTAAGTAATAAAGAATTAGTATGTTATCACTTTCTTCATATTGGTATTTATTTCCAATATGTAATATTTTACATAAATATAATTTTAAATCAATAATATAAATATTAATATTTATCTAAATAATCTTTTGTAATAATATCTTTCTATTCTAATATATTGTACAATACAAAAAAGGAATGTAAAAACAGAAAAAAATATCAATTTTCACTATTTTCTTGTTTTAGCTTAATTCATATAATTCTCAACTAGCTGTAAAATTAAGTAAAATTATTTACACAAAATTATTTAAATTATTAAAAATAGATATTAATTGTATACTTAAAGCTAATATACACATAAATTAGTAAACTTACTTAAGGTTTTTATCTATAACATATAGAATAATAATATTTAGAGAGTAGAATTTTCAGCTGATATTAATAATTTAACTATTATCAAATATATAAAATATCTTTCAAAAAGGTTTAAATCAAGTATAAAAACTTCAGAAAAATATATATTAAAGGATAATACAAAAATTAATATAATAGAAAATAAAACAAGAGTATAAAAATGTGAAAAATATAAATAATATGGTTATTATG